CTCCTCCCAACCTTATCAGGACTTTGAAAAGAGATGATTAAAGACAAGAAGCATTCTACAATTCAGGAGCAAGAATCATGAGAACACCATTAGCAGTCCTAAGTTAAATGAGAAAAAATATCAGGGTAAAATTGGTGCGTCTGGTTTTATTTGAATAGGTTATGTTCACAGGTGGGATATGGGTATGGGTGAAGAGAACATAATTGTTCCGATAATGACATAATCACCCACTGAACTTGAAGTATTTGAGTTTCTAACAGGGAAGTTCCTAAAGTATTTCTTTCTGAGAGGCACTTTGATAAATTCCCTCTGCTCACTCTTTCCTGTAGGCCATAACCTACATTACCCTCAATAAGGGAAAAAACAGCATACGCAATAACAACTTGCATTTACTGTAATATAGTGCCCTTCACGTAGAATAATCTTTCGGACTGCTCCATAAGGGCGGGTTTGGACACTGAGAGAGGGGAAGGTGACTGTGGTCACAGATGTTGATTTTTTAGGTATGAGCAAAAACTCTAAAATCACCTCTACCGATACCAAAGTAATGGATCCAATGAGGATGATGGTCTATATTGCTAAATCAGTTGAGTTTAGATCCCTAAACGTCATTCTCAGGCTGCACCTTGAATACAGCACATAGGATTTTCTGGGATTTGTTGGGCGCATCCTGGAGTGGGCATAATCAGCTCCTCGAATAACGTCTGTCAGTGCGACTGAGAAGCATCTGAGGAGACACGCTCCTTCTGTACATTGTATACTTATAAAATATGAGGGCATTTACACAATACCTAAAATGATCTGGAATAATAAAAGCACTTCTCTGATGCCCTTTCCTCAAAAAGATGCTTACAAGTTTTGCACACAAAGATACATAATGTCTGCATAAAGATACATAATGTAAAGCCACCATTGTGTCAGGAAGACTGCAAAACCAAGTTTTCTTTTCAGATGCATAATTCAGGCTGATACAAATCTAGAATTTCAAAGTGTTCCTTTTGACAAAGTGGACAAGATCTGAGCTGCATGAACATTACTAATTCAAGCATCAGCAACACGTTGCTTCAAAGCACAAATCCCATTGCGCATAGTTCGACTGAAGGAATGACAATTCCCTTCAGCTTCCAATGGTGGCGGTACTTGAAATCTAACCACTCCACATCTGTAGTAACTTTTTCTCAATGAAAAAGTATCTTCTGCCACCCTGTGGTAGTTTTTAGCAGTTACATTTTTAAAAATACTTTTTTAAATTGACACACTGATACGATACAACTTCAAATTTTGAGGGAAAATAAGAAATCAATCACTTGCAGCTGCAATACATGCTGCAAGATTTGACTAATCCCCTCTCTGAGTTGCTCTTCGAGTAACAACTCAAGAAATAGTCAACACTAGACAGTACCCTATACTATCTCTTAAGAAAGTATTGTTTGGGCCACAAAATACACAGTGATATAATGAGGAGTTTTTTATTGGGATGTGTTCTGTACTTAGGATCCTTTATAATAATAATCCTTGCATTTGATATAGCGCCTTATCATATCGTTGAGACTTCTCAAAGTGCTTCACAGAATATAATGTAAAGTGAATCGACTGTATATTTTGTGGGTGAACCACGACAGCACATTTCTCCACCAAGGAGTGAGGCATTAAGAATGTGCATCATATGTGAGGCTATGGTACTTCATATAGAATGCTATGTACAGCACTGAGTACTGCAGCATTGAGTGGAGATTATTAACACTTGGCTCCAAAGTGACATGTTTGGCAATGGAATGGCGGAAATGAGCCCACTGTGGCGATCTCAGTAGTTCCAGTTCCAGAGCCAGGTGGGTTCTCAGTATTCCAGGGCAAGCCAAAGCCCTAACGGGTAGCTGGACAAACAGCAGGAAAGCTTGTCAGACAATGCTTTCAATGGCAAACTATGCAGTTTCAGCTGAATACACTCCAGCAGTACCACAACGACACAACGCATCTAGCCAAGCCTTGGTTCTTGCCAACTTGCACCTAATAATATAACTTCTGGAATTAGGTAAGCAGGATGCGGCCTTCCAGGGAGAGAGTGCACATTCCATTACAATAAATACTTCGGCAATTTCCATCTGTAGGTGGGATGCATGGAGCTCATCCAGTTTTTCCTGGATACTCTTAAGCACGATAATAGGTTTCTTCATGTGTCGAAAGCCAGTTGACCAAAAAAACAACTGAACAAGTATATTGAGTTCTGTTGGAAACTGTAACACTGGAGTTTCTTTCATCCATATTTTAAAAAATAGATATTTATCTGAATTGAAATCCTCAATGGAACAAAAGACCAACCCAGCAAGATTTCAATAAAGTGTAAGCCATTGGTTGTAAATGTTTTTGGAATGTTATTGCTGGATTTAATAGACAGCTAACTGTACAACTGGTGACAAACACCCATTACAATCCACACCTGTTCACCACAAAATCATATTCAGCTGACAGACAGCTGGTTTTGTTATTGGGACCATTTAAGTTTTCAGTAGTAATCAGTAACTATCTGGAGTATTCATTTGTCGGCAAACAGTAAAATATTTGCAAAGTTTTTACTGTAGGAGAATTTTAATTGTACTAGTATGCTTTTCTGCATCTAAACTTCGGTATCACTGTTATTTTTAGGAGCATAGCAAAACAGAAGCAGACATTGGCCATTCAGCCTGGTTCAGCAGTTTATTAGATTTTGGCAGCTCTTTAAATTCCAATGGCCTGCCCTTTGGCCAGACATCTTAGGAACACTAATCGGAATCTGCTAAGTTTCAGCAATTTAATATAATAAAAATAATTACATATTTTGAGCTATAAATCTAAAAAAAAACAAAATCCTCCTGGAAGGGGTAAAGCAGTATCTATTCTCAAAAATGCCCATGCTCTCAATGATATCCTACAGGCAGATGACCAGTGACATTTGATTATTAATGGCACTCAAAAAGTGCTCCAGACTCCATCTCAGACTCGAGATCCAATCGAATTCAAAGTCTTGTAATTGTGTGATGAACAGCAAGCACTGAAAAGCTACAGCACTTTTTACTCACCACTGTGAGGATGGTGTAGAATAACTGAATATAAGGCCAGTATTACTTGAATTGAGGCATATGACTCCAACGTTGCTCTGCTGTACTATCACTCTGTGATTGAAAGCAGGCCGATTTTCCCCCCCTCAATTTAGTTAGGGCATGCAACCTCCTAGGGCTCTCTCCTCTACCAGATATTTCCTCATCATCTTCCACTATTGCTAATCCTTTGTCTTCAGTGCCTACCCTGTACTTCCTCAGTAATGTCTACATCTCCGACAGTGCATGAGTTTGTGCTGCTGCTTGCTTTAAGTAATGGCGGTGTTGGGATTGTGCTCTAGCTTAAGGTGCTTGTTTAATGCAGCAAACATTTCACTGTATTGTCCTCTATTCTGTGAAGATCAAAGATGGCATATTAACAATAGAAATGTACACATCACTATCTGAGTGTTGCCCTTCACTGCCCTGACCCACCCCCCGAGTTGTCATTGTGGAGTCCTGTGGCTCAGTGGTTAGAGCACTCGCTTTGCAAGTGAGAGACCTGAGTTCATTTCCAGGCAGAGGGCGAAACCTTGGGCAAGTTTCCTTACTCCACACAGAGCCTAATAATAATCCCTCCAAAACCGAAAACAATAATAAATTGGTCATTTTCAATCCATATGACTGTTTGTGGGACACTGCTGTGCGCAATTGGCTGCTGCGTTCGCCCACAAATATACAGTCAATTCACTTTACAGTGTGTTCTGTGAAGCGCTTTGGGACGTCCTCCCGACGTGAAAAGCGCTATATCAAATGCAAGGATTATTATTATTATTATTATTATATGTACTATAATGCACAATCGGTATGTATAATATGAATATATTCATAAACGACGAAAAGTTAGGCAGTAAAGAGCGTATTAAGACAGTAACACTTGATCAGACGTTAAGCAATAAAAAGAGCTGAGAGTCAAACAGAGTATCAAGATTGCCCCTTGGCACAGTGAGATGAAGAGAGCAACTGAAAAGGCTGAGGTATCAGAGCCCAATTAAGGAAGTGTTGTGGGAACCAAAGAGAATAGCTTCCATCTTATCCATGTTAAGATGAGCTGCACAAAGTTGAGACTCATCTAGTCTGTGATGTCTGACACCCAGGTGGTCAGAACATCAATGGAGCCGACACAAGGGTGGAAGCAAAGAGATAGATTGGGGTATCACCAGCTTACATGTGGAAATTTGCACAATGTCTTCAGATGATGTCACCAAGAGAGTAGATGAGGAAAACGAGGGTACCTAGGGTAGAGCCCTGAGGTGAAAAGTGTTTTTGAAGCTTAATCATAACTTTGCAATAACATTTAAATATAGCATTAAGGTGCGGTGACTACTGTAACTCCGCTTACATGACCTTTCCTTGTTCAATCAGCAGATTTTATTCTCCAGCCAATGTACAAACTTTGTGAAAATCAATTGTAGTGTAAAAGTGACAGAGGTTGCATTTCGCCTCTTTTGTTCCATATTTCCAGACTTCAGTTCAGCATTGTAAAAGTGATGATAATGATCACTGGCATTCTGCATGCCAGTTTCAATTGGGCTCTGGTCCTAACCATTTTAACTAGTCTGAGCCATGGGGGGAATATAGTATTTGTACGTGTGTGCGTGTGCATGTGTTGGGGCGGACGAGCTATGGCTTTATTATTGACTGGCCTTGTTGAACATATTTACCAATAATTTGATAATTAAAATCAATGTTAATTAACACATCCCAATAGGTGAAATTATGAAAGCTACCTTATTTCCAGAAAGCAATTCCCAGAAAATCAAAACAAAGCTTTAATTCCATTACGAAATGGAGCTAACTTGACCTTACTTGATTAGAACATGAACATTTCACATTTCGTACATGAAATGAAAAGTAAATAGCACAACTTCTACTGAAAATTATTTCTGGCTGACGAATTCTAAAACTGTCAGGATAAGTCCTTACTTTTTCATCATCATCGGTGAAAGGTGCACCCGCAGGGTTTTTGTTGATGGCTTGTGCCACCCCAATAATCTCGCCATCACTGTTCTGAATTGGCATGCAGAGGATGGACTTAGTCTTGTAGCCAGTCAGCTTGTCGATTTCATCACTGAACCGGTGGTCCTTTGCAAAAGAGAAAAAGAAAACATTTGTTTTGCAGACTGAAAGCAAACAAACACAATTTGCCAATTACAGAAATGACAACCACCCATTTTATAGTAATAAATCATTAAAGGAAAGCAAATATCTTTTCTTTTATGTTCTTATGCCAAATCTCAAGCATAGAGTAGTAAATGTGGAGTCCTGTAGCTCAGTGGTTAGAGCACTTGCTTCGCAAGCGAGAGACCTGGGTTCTATTTTCAGCAGGGCGAAATGTTGGGCAAGTTTCCTTACTCCACACGCCTCTGTTTACCTAGCAGTAAGAAGGAACCCAGATGTTCGTCAACTGGTAAATCACTTTTCCAGGGATAATTCCTTCAAAGCAAAATGATAATAATAAATTGGTCACTCAATCCATGATTGTTTGTGGGACACTGCTGTGAGCAATTGCCTGCTGCGTTTTGCCCACAAGATATACAGTATATTCTGTGAAGCGCTTAGAAACGTCTCGAAGACCTGATAAGACGCTATATCAAATGTAAGGTTTATTACTATTATAAATGGGTTGAGGTCTGGTACATTCATGGCTCAGAGTAAACTAAGTACAAACGTGGCTAAGTGTTTGCATTGAAATCAAATTTGCAGTACTCTGCTTTTCTTCTAGTGGTTCCAGAGCTGTGGATGTTCAATCCATGCAACTCTCATTTTCTTCCAGGAATTTAAACAAGTGAATCAGATAAACCATTTTACCTACCTGATATTTAGGAGGTTATTTGTTAAATGCAGAATAATACCCCTGAAGTTTAGAATGTATTTCTCAGTCTTCAATAGTAATCAAGTAATATGTGGCTAGAGGCGCAATGATATTCTTCACTCATAATTGTCAATTTTTTTATGGTATGTGCAGCTTAAAAATTAATTTGTGTCAGAATTATAGGTGAGCAAGAAATGTTCATTGCCTTCATTTCAAGAGAAGTCTGCTAAATCTCTTCGTGTTCAATTTTAACGTTAAAAAAAGTACATTTCTCCTTAGTGATCCAGACCTTGGGAGGGCAAAAATTAGATGTTATTTCTATTGAGGGACATGTGCTGGAAAGAGTGTATTTATGCATGGATACGGGTGTTAGGACATTGGATGAAGACATGGTCAAGTTCAGTTAAGATTCTCTGCAGTTAAATAACCTCACTGTTAACTCATTGTTATAGCTCGCATATGACCTTTGGCTACTTGGGCCAGATTTCAAACGGATACCAGAGAAGCAGAATCAAAAAGCGTTACACAAATAATGAACCAGGCCAGAGGTATTAACAACATAGGAAAACATAACTGCAAGAAAAGAATCTATCGAGCATTCAGTCTATCGAGCCTGTTCCGCTAATACACCAACAATAGCAATTGCATTTATACCTTCACATGCAATGAAGTCGAGGAGCACTGATAAATCCAGCAGTTAGATAGATGCAATTGATAGTACCCGCATCTCAGTGAGGTGGCAGAAATGTCTTTTGAAAAATCTTTAGTTATATAACAAGGAAGATTCATTTGATTTTTTTTCCTTGTCAATTTCAAAATTCCTTCTCTTTGCAAGGTGAACATCATGATATTAATCTGAATCTGGAATCCCAGAATAATTGTTCTTGAAAAGCAGTTGTTCTGCCACTTGGTGCCGCTGTAAATGTTACAATCCCTTGCAAATTAGGCAATACAAAGTCTATTGCACTTTGAATTATGTGGCAGCAATCCATGTGGATAATGATCATAACATTTTTATACAGAAGGAGGCCACTTGGTCCATCATATCTGTGCCATGCAATTTGCCTCACTTCAGGACTGAGAGCCCCAATGAAACTCTGACTCAGCTTGACTCATTGAAAAAGTAACCTTTCAGTTAAGTTTATCATATGTATTATTTATAGACCATATCAATCATTTAAGATTTTACTAGCTCTTCAGGACCATGACAGTATCTTTGAACAAAAATAAACCAAATTCAAGTTGCAGAATTTCAGCTCAGCACAAGAATCAAGTTCATCAGGAAAGGTGCTGGGTTTCCAGATACTTACTGTTCCTTAAGTTAAATAAAAAGGAATTTGTATCACCACCTGGAAAATTGCATCACATTATGCTTCTTATGTTACTTTTACCTGAATCATAAACAGAAGTTGCTGGGAACACTCAGCAGGTCAGGCAGTATCTATGGAGAAAGGAAAGTGAGTAAACGTTTCGGGTCCACGACCCTTCATCAGAACAGTTCTTTTAGTGTTCCCAGCGACTTTTGTTTTTGTTTCAGATTTCCAGCATCTGCAGTATTTTGCGTTTTGTTAACCCTGAATCATACAAGTATGATGTGAAAAGATTTGGGAAAGATTCACTTTTGAAAGGAAAGTTATTGAAAGTTTTCATTCTGTACCCTCTTTGTTCCTTTGAATTACCTCATGCTTTACTATGTTCTTCCTGCTGGAAAGACAGGATGGCCTAGGCCATCCTAGATTTCTCTATAGCTGTCATCAGCATGAATAAGCTATTCCCACTTGCTAGGGAGTCCGTAATGACATGATAGAAGTATAATAATACTAATACCAATTGTTGCATTTGATATAGCGCCTTATGAAATTGTTGCGACGTCTCAAAGCGTTTCACAGTATCAAAGAGGAAGGTCTTCTGGCCGAGGGATTGAGGGAGAGTGTTCCAGAGTTTGGGACGTAGAGGCTGAAAGTGCATCAAATTTCAGAACAGACACCAGAAAGCACTTCATTGTACAGAAGTTAATTCTGTAAGAGGTGGCCAGGGTGGGTGGTAGAAGCCAGGACACTGGACCCATTTAAGAGACAGAGTGATGCTGTAATGAAAGGACAGCACAGTGGGTATTTCAGGAAAATGAGATTAAATGGGTTAGGACCTTCTTCCTTTTTTGTGAATAGGCATTTCCTACATTCCATTATGTCATCAATCCGTAATGGGGGGGGAGGGGGGGAGATTGTGGGGGTTAAGTTTAGCATTATTATGCTGAAAAAATGATTATCTCTCTCTCCTCTAATAAATCTCATGTCTCAAAGTTGCCTGACAAACATTGAATTCCTATCTCTGACCTACTTGACTTTTCTCTGAGTACCAGCACTGCTTCCTACTGCTGTTATGCTTACCATGAAAGTGATTTAGGGTTGCAGAGTCATCTCAGTGTTCATGCCTTGAAATCTATGTTATCATTATAATAATACAAACACAAACAGCCTTCTCTACCAATAGCATTATCATAATCTCTCTCCTCTTCTCACTCTGAGACTGAGACCTCGAGAACATAGACTCGTAGAGGGGAATCACTTGATTTCCCACAGAAATTGGCGACTAGTCTGAAAATGACCTGCCGATACAGCAAATGCCTGCATCACTCCATGTGGTGCCATCTTGATGACAGAGAAGAAGCTAGTGCTACCTGTAATTGAGTGAAATTTAATATAAGTAAAAATATAGTAAAACTCTACCTTATTCCTCTCTCCCTAGTTCTTTTGGAGCCCTGCTTGCTATACAAACTCATTTAAAAAATAATTTGGTAATAAAAGAAAAGTCATGATCATTTTCCCAAATAACAATAAATCACATGGAGATGCCTTCAGCCCAGGAAAGCTTGACTGATCGTTTGGCAGCAATATATTTTGACTAAGGTTCGTTAATCCTTTTTGTAACTGACTTAAGTAGCCGCAATGCATCACTATGTGTGATAAATATGAGCGGGGGACATCACCATTAAAATTTAGGTATGACGAGAGAGCAGAAGGGAAACGACGAAGGAGCAATGATGGGCAAACCCTTTAAAATCATTACATTTTTAATTTAAATGTTCACTTTTAATTTTAAGATTAAAATTACAGTAATAAAACTTTCTGTAATACTATACCAATGCTCATTATATACAACCCGGTCCCAAATCCTGGTCCCTTCTTGGATTTGGGACCTATTATTCAGCTACCTCTTTAAATTTATCTGATACTCTGCCTGTTTTGGATTCTCCTGCCACAAGTGCCTGTGGTGTGCTGCATTGTCAAAGGTTCCATCCTTCTGGTTAGAGACATTAAACCAAGGTCGCATCTGCCTGTTCAGGTAGATGTTAATGATCACATGGCACTATGTGAAAAGAGAAGGGAGTTTCTCTCTGTATCCTGGCAAATAATCCTCCAGATAAAATTGGTCATTCACTTTATGGCTGTTTGTGGTATATTGCTGTGGGCAAATTGGCTGCTGTGTTTTCCTACAAATGCACAAGCAATACATTTCACAGCAAAATTCTATGAAATGCCTTGAGACATCTCAACAACATGAAAAGGCACCGTATCAAATGTAAGGATTATTACTAAGTTGTGCCATTGGTGAATGTCAGGTCTTTCTAAACTTATAGCTCTGCCTTAATATTAATAATCCTTGCATTTGGTATACAGCCGTTCAATCAAGAGGCCATTCCAACCCGCTTTATAGAATTTCCAAAAGCCACTCGATAAGGTGCTGCACGGAAGACTGATGAAGAAACTCAGAGCAGATGTAATAGGGGGAAATTGGATAGGAGAGTTGAAAGACAGAAAGCAGAGCTAAAAGGTTGTTTTTCCAGTTGGAGGAAGGATGCCACAGGGGACTGTGCTGGGAGCTTCTTTTTTCCATATATATCAATGACCTTGAGGGTATTAACGTTCGTGGTTGATCTAGGAAGTATAATGAATAGCAATGAGGTTGACAAGAGACTGCAAGAGGATTTAAACAGATTAGCGCAATGATCTGATCAATTGCAAATGAAGTTTAATGAAGCAATATGTGAGGTGATCCATTTTGGTTGAAAAAACAAGATGAGTATATATTGAATGGCAGTATCTTGCAAGGAGCTGAGAAGCAATGGGATTTAAAAGTTCAGGCACATAAGTCATTGAAAGTGCATCACAAGTTGTAAAAGGTGTAAAGAAGGCTAATAACAGGCTGGGTTTTATACACAGGGGCATAGAGTACAAAAGTAAAGAAATAATGCTAAGTTTGTATAAAT